CCACCCACAACCTCTTGGCCCTCACCGTTCCATGCACATGGAACCCAGAGCTTCCTGTTACAATCCCCTCAGTTTCTTTGTCTGAGTAGAGCAGACTCAAAGTTCAAGAAATGACTGTCCCTGAGAGCAGCCCTCAGCCAAAGACAGACTTGAGCTGGTGGATGAATAAGCAGCCCAGGTACCTCACCCTCAGGTGGCAGATTGGTGGGGGATAGCAGAGAGTGTACAATTACCTAGATAATTACAGACGATGTCAGGTCCTGTGAAGGAAAATAACAAAGTGCTATGAGAAAAAATGAGAAGGGGTCCTCATTTTGGGTAGAGTGGGTCAGGGAAAATCCCTCTGAGGAGGTGACACCCTTAGAAGTGAAGACTGAGAAGGGACCAACCTGGTGAAGAGTAAGGGGAAGATTAGTCTCAGCGGGCAGCATGTGCAAAGGTCCTGAGGCAGGGGGAGCTTGGGCTGGATGGAGCAGTGTGGCTGGAGTACTGAAGTGAGGAAAGGGAGGGCACAGCATCCTGGTGGAAAGACCACAAGGCTTGCTGCATGATTGGAGAGTCAGTCTGCCCTCCTGAGACAAGAAGAACTTTCAGATAGACTTGATCTTGCACCATGAGGGTTCATGGAGGGAAGAAGTCAGAGAGAAACCTCTTGTAAAGAAAAGGAACCCAGTGCTAAGAATCAAATGAGCAGGATTCCCGGGCCAGCTCCTCCCCTGCACATACTCAGCCAGCAACCCCCACGGCCTCGGGGCGGGGGCCCTGGGGATGGACCCTGTCATCCTTGGAGAGCTGGGAGGTTCACTTCCCTTGGTCTGGGCAGCCTTGCTTGGGAGGGCTCCCTGAGGCTGCAGGGCATGGTGCACAGGGTGGTCCACCCAGCTGTGTCATCTGCCAAGGGCACCTGTCAGTTCTGGGCATTGGGTTCCTGGTCAAGCAAGTGGAGACAGTAGCCCCGCCACCAGCCGGGGTTCTCTGAGGATGCTGAGCCACTGTAGGTGAGTTTAGAGAATGTGTGAAGCACACGGCCTGGTCTACCTCCAAGCCAGTGCTCAGTGAAGGGGGCTTTTCATCATCTGCATATGGCTGTCCCCTGGCAGGGCCAGAACCGGTGTGGTGACACTGCTGCTGACTTAAGAGCCCTGCTGATGGGTGCCAGGTACCAGCTCCACTCCCTACCTGTGGTAGAGCATTCGATTTTTGCAACACCATTGTGAAGCAGGTGTCATTATTGTTCCCATTTTACAAGTCCTACTCCTCAGGTGGGAACACAGCCCCGGCAGGCCACTCAGGCACACGTGTGGGTCACCCCTGGTGTTGCAGCTACTGCACCTTGAGGGGCAAGAGGTCAGCTTCAGGGGCTGCATCTGGCACTGGCCTGGAATGCAACTAAGACAAGTTCGCCTTCCAACAGGCAGGCACTAATATAGACCTGCTCTCTCACCTTTCCAAGTCCTTCAACCCCCAGGGAGGTGGGAGGCCTCTGAACCCACAGGGGGGTCAAAGGCCACTCCGAGTAGCTGAAGCTCAATCATCAGGGCCAATCCTGCCTTCTGCATCGAAGGTAGCCAACCCCATCCGAGGCAGAGAGGGATGAGAGGGCTGCCCAGGGCTGGGGCTCAGAACAGGCAGCGGGGTCCTTGCTGTCTTGGCTTCACCCAGGCAGGGCCACCTCTCCCTGGGGTAGATGGGGACTGGACCAGACCTTGTGGAGCAACCCACGTGCTTCAAGGCCACCTGGCCGACCAGTGAGCCTGCTGGGCACCGGGGACCTGCTGGCCACCCTGAGAGGTCTTTTCCCCCAGTTTATCCAGCAGTGTTTACTGAGCACCTTTGACGTGGTCAACCCGCTGCCTCTAGTGGGGAGGGCCCCAAGGTGAGTGACACTATCCCCGCCACCAGGGCGCTGCTAGGACTAGCCATTTTAAGCATACGATTTAATGGCATCAAGGATATTTGCAATCTTGCGCAACCATCCCTGTCACCTATTTTCAGTACTGTTCCATCTTCCCAAACTGAAGCTCTGTCCCCATTGGACACAGTCCCCAGCCCCTGCAACCACCACCCTTTCTGTTCCTGTGATCTTGACAGTTCCAGGTTCCTCATACGAGTGGAATCATGCAGTGTTTGCCTTTTTTGACTTGTTTTTGTCCTCGAGGTTCATGCACGCTGTCGCGTGTGTCAGAATCTCCTTCCTTTTTAAGGCTGGGTCGTGCTCCCCTGGGCGGATGGAGCACGCTTCGTCCATCCGCTCGTCTGTCGATTGACACTCAGGTGGCTTCCGCCGTCTGGCCACTGTGAGTCATGCTGCTGTGAACACGGGCGTGCCGATATCTGCTGGAGTCCTGCTTTCATTTCTTTTGGGGATAGACCCAGAAGTGGAATTGCTGGGTCACGTGGCAATTCAGCTTTCTATGGAACTGCCATGCCGCTCTGCATGTTGGCTGCACCCTTTTACATGCTGACCCCTGGCAGGTCCTCGGCCCAAAGTCCCAGAGACTCTGACAGGCAAAGACCCTGCCCGGCCTCCACCCCCAGCCCTGCACCTCCCTCCCTCTCCCTTCCCTTTCCTGTCCTGCCCAGGCAGGTGGCAGTGACAGCCAAAGCAAGGGAGGGAGGCTGCCGTCCCTGGAGCCTCTGGGATGGTCTCCCAGACACAGGGCACCTCCTCATGGAGCCACGGGTGCCGGTCTTCAGCCCCCAGCCACTCTAGTCTCAAGGCAGAGCAGGTGGCCGGGCTGAATAGGGACCGGCACCGGGCTGACAGGCTCACCCTGCCACTTCTCCTCTTCAGGGGACCGTCCCTGCTTCAGTCCCCTCCTGCCTAGAATGAAGCAGAGGCTTCCGCTTGTGCCCATGTGGCACCCCACGCAGCCAGCACCTTCTGAACCCTCCCGGGGAGCCCACACTTGCAGCCCGGAGCCCGCCTTCCCTCCCCTTCCCCTCTTTCAGCAGGAGAGGGGTCTCTTTCTTTTGGGGTACCACCCAAGTGGCCAGGCATCCAGGCCCCTTGTCCTCTGTGTTCATTCACTCAGGCTGCTGTAACAAAGTGCCCCAGGCTGAGCATTTGGAACAACAGACATTTATCGTCTCACAGTGCTAGAGGCCAGAGGTCCAAGATCAAGGCATCGGCAGGGTGGGTCCTTCCGAGGCTGTGAGTGAGGATCTGCTCCAGGCCTCTCCTTAGTTTCAGGGAGTTTGCTGGCAAACTCTGGCATCCCCTCACCCCAATTTCTGCCTTCGTGTTCACACGGTGTTCTCCCCGTGTGTATGTCTGTGTTCAAATCCCCCTTTTTATTAGGACACTGGTCACACTGGATTAGGGGCCCACCCTACTCCCATGTGACTTCTTAACTAGTTACATCTGCAGTGACCTTATTTCCAAACAAGGCCACATGCTGAGGAGACTAACTTCAATGTATGGATTTTAGGGAGACACAAATCAATTCATAAATCCCTCCCAACCCATTCCCCAAATGAAGCTGCCTGGTGTCTGGAGAACAGCCTGTCAGCTGCAGAAGATGCACGCTCTCTTGACAAATCTGTTCTAAATATTAACCAAGAGCCCCCCCGATGTCCCCCACCCCTTCGTCTGTTGATCGTGTAGCATTGAGGTGAAAGGGGCGCTGCTGCACCCCCTCATAACTGCATGCCCTGGGCAAGGTCACCCCGCTGAGCTTGTTTCCTCATCTGCAAAACGGAACAGCAGCACCTGCCCCATCTCGCTCTGGACACACGATGAACCCAGAGCAACAGCTCAGCGTGAGCTGCCGCCCCTGCTTGTCACCATGAATGCCCGTTCTGCAGGGGACAATTCCTGGGAACCTGACTTGCTGAGGGGCCGGGAGAGCACCCTTGTGTCCTTACACTTGGCAGCTCCTGCATTCGGCTGGTCTGAGCCGACCTCAGGCTTTCTGACCCCTGCAGTCCTCCAGGGGCCCCGGGCCCAGGCCACATTCCTCACCTGGGCCCCTATCCACCTTGCCCATGTCCTTTGACTCTCACCTAGGCTGACCCCAGGTGACTCTGTCCCATGGCCACTGTCGGGGAGCAGGTGTGGGGAGGCGCCTGGTCCAAGATGGAGCTCAGCCACCGACTCCTCACAAACCACATCGCCTCTCTGAGCCTCACTTTCTTAGGCAAAGATAGGAGTGCTCAAGGCCCTGGAGCAGGTTGGAAGGATAAAGGGAGGAAGGGACTGCAGTGCTCAAAAGTGTCCCCAGGGATGCATGCAGCTGTAGGAGGGAGGAGCTTTTTGGAGCTCTAGAACAAAGTAAGCCTCTCTCTTCCTTTCTCCCGGCACACACACAGGCACACCCGCACATTCAGACAAACCCAAGAACACGCAACCCAAGCGTGCACGTAAACATACACTCATGCACACACGCAGGCACACCCGCATGCACTCACACTCAATAACACACAAGCACCCATCACACAGATGCACACGGGCACAGGAACCCACACACATGCACACGCACACACACATTAGCCTGTTCTTTCCATGCACACAAACCACCGATTGGTTTCCAAAAATTGTAACTTTGAAAAACTAGGGGATTAAAGCGCATCGTTAGCCCGATTTCTCAGGATACCATCTTACAACTTAAACTAGCAGTCGGTGCAAGCAACGCCGGCACGGACCCTTCTATCAGCAAAGCAAGTTGTTGCAGTAAAAGCTGCAAGTGTGTCCTCAGCCTGCATTACAATCTATTAAATAACAAAGTAGAATAAAATACTTTAATGTTTCGTTACGCACGTCCCCACGCTGTCCCACCGCTGCGCGCTGCCGGGGGGCAGCTCGGGGGTCTTCCGTGCAGGCTGGCGAGGGGCTCCTTGCGACGTAAGCCCACCAGGG